CGGAGGAAGAATATTGTGCTCAAACAGCTATATTTCTGTAAATATATTAGATTTCTTGAAAAAATCTTGTGCACATATTATAGAACAGATGAGCTTTAAAAATATCTAAAAATAATAATAATAATTCTAGAGTAGAATACGAATACCCTCTTAAAATAAATTTCTTCTAATCGTAAATTAAATCACAGTACTGGCATAAAATATAATATATTTTATATTTTAAATTTTGTCACCAATATGCAAAAAAATAAATATAGTTATTGTCATAGCAAGTATCAAATATTAAAGAATGGCCGAGAGATGTAACCATAGGAGTAGGGGGTACTACATGTTCGCACAAATAAATACCTATAGGTTATTATAAAAATTGACCCTAGTAAAAAGAATGTAAAAATGATGTGATTTGTACCAATTCTAAGTTTCCCATACAACCCAATAGAACGTTTTCCACAGAACGCGCTTTGAATGAACCTAGTTGGTACATTAAATTCCAGTTTTAAAAAGCTCGGTTTCCATATTACACTATAACACACCGCGTTATAGGAAGGTTTAATGTATACACCTACATATATATATATATTTGAAGTGATTCATAAAAAATCTCAATTAGTTACTTCAATGAATAATTATTTCCGCATCGCACACAGCACAAGACGATGTGACAATTAGTTTTTTCGACTTATCATTAGTTTACCTATTACGTCGATTTCTGGGAAAGAGGGTTTGTAATATGAGGTTAGGCAAAGCACACAGGTCAACGGCCAGTAGCATGCCCGAGTGGGGAAAACGGATTTCCTGTCCGATGGCTCATTACGATACGCTCGTGGTGGCTTTTATTATTCTAACTTTCATCGTTACTATTATAAAAGTGCCTATTGGCTGGAAGAAATGCCTAAACATTGGAAGAAACAAATCTAGAAAATCATAATCAATCTTGTAATAATTCTTGATAAATCTACAAGAAGTTGTATTGTTCTATTGTTGTAGAACAAAATAAAACCCATTGTGCAATAGTACCTACTCAATCATATCGGATCATAAATGCTCAAAGTAAATAATTAAATCGCATTTTTATTTAATTCGCTTTATTATAGTTTTTGATTTTTATATATCAAAATTGTTAGAAATCAATAAAAAGTGCAATTAAAATTAATTATATTCTACTCAGCTGATTGACCAATTTTTTTATGATTAAATAATTGCTTTTAGCTTCACGTAGGGAAGTTATAGTAATAGGCCGAAAATCGAAAATGAAAATTTTGCATTGCTCGACGTTTTGAAGGTTTCTGAACATTTTGGCATACCTCCGAAAAAATGGATGTATGTGTGTGTGTGTGTGTGTGTTTTGTATGTTCGCATTTTTTCGTCCACGTTTTTGGGCGCACGTTTTTGGGCATCACCCAGTTTGAATGGTTCAAAAAACATTCGACTCCTATTGATAGGGAGATGTGCTGATTAGTTTTTGGCAAAGGCAGATCCAGCCGTTACGGAGATACGGAGCAAAGAGTGCAGATAATACAAATCGAGTTTTTGAGAGAACGGAGTTTCCAATTTGATTGATATAAAAAACATTAAATTTGTAATGATTGGGAAAAGAGGTGATTAGTTTTTGGCAAAGGCAGGTTCAGCCATTTCAAAGATACAGAGCTAAATGTACAAAAAATGATAGTTTTTGAAGAAACTAAGCGTTCGAGATTTGAATGATGGGGGAAGGAAGAATTTTCTGCTTGTTTTAACAAAATAATTGCTTTTGAAAAAAAAATTGTTTCAATTTTTTTTTAATTTTTTTGTATATTGAAAATAATTAAGATTTTAATTTTAATACTGACTAAAGTTCTAATATACTTTAAACAAATAATTTCAACTTTGCGATTCAGTTTATATAATTCTTATAAATATTAGACAATGTTACAATATTTATAATAATCTATTTGAAAACATTTAATATTCCTCGAACATTTCGTTGCAATACGGAAAGTTCCAGCAATTTGTCTTAAGGCGCGATGCCATACACCACTAGTTTTTTTACTTTTGTCGTCAAACATACCTTACTAGAGGTTCGGGAGTCTAGATTATAAAAAATGAAAATTTGGCGTAGACCTTGTGTACCTGTATAAAATATTTATATGAGCATGAAAGTATCACAAATTAAAGACTATAAAGAAAATGCAATTTTTGTTCATGGTGCTGTTATTATAACAGAAATTTTCAAATGACCTATTGATTTTCGAAAAGTGATTCAAAAAAATTTATTTTTTTGCACGTTTTTTCTGTATATCCCAAAATCATTAAATTACTAAGTTTCCATATAAAATCACAATATTCCTCGTATAAATAACATGGGTTAATCTTTTCTCTAAAAAACAAGCAGCCATTGTATACACATTTTTTCATTACCTTTTCCGAATTGGATTTCCCAAATATCAAAACCAAAAAAATATAGTTTACTAAAAAATTATAAACAACATTTTGATATCAGAGCTATCGATTTAATACAGCTTTCATAATTATCCTTACGTTGACAGAAAAACTTTCAACGAGCAAATATATAGGCAGACCGACGAAAGAAGATTGAAACTTATCGATAAAAATTCTTAAACTAACCGTAATTATTAACAACCATAAAATATTTAAGACTTATTGTCAAAAAAATCATTTGAAAACATAGGTATATGAATATTATCTGATCTATTGCAAGAAACAAAACGCGTACGAGACAAGACCTCTACGGAAAGAAGCAGCTTTAGTTCAATAAAATGCGCCTACATGATGCGTGTTTGTCTAAATACGTAATACAACATGATATTAAAGTTTTATAGACAAAATTGTGTTTCGTAGTAGACGTTTATCTATAATGTCAACATGACAGGAGTCTCGTTCAACATGATAACTAACATATTTTATCGAATCAGTATTGGTTTAGAAAAAATACTATTACTACGTGTCTCCCTATAGATTCAATATGATTAATATATTAACTAGTGGTGTATAGCATCGTATAACATCGTGCTGGGGCAAATTGTTGCAACTTTCCGTACCAAAAATCAAAATTTTTAAAATGCTTGAAATTTTTTTGAAAAGTTTGAGTAAATTATATTTTTAATTAACATTTGAGCTTTTTATCAATGCAATCGCCTTGCGTAGCGGTTTTAGAGACAATATATCGAAGCGTCGCAGTAATACGGATATACATTAATATGCGATCACATTTTTGATCGCGAATAGCGTTTTATTGGACCTCCAAAACCACTGATCCTGCCTTACCTTTTTTCAGTTCTCTTTTGTCAATACAAATAAAATGTTTTGAATCATTCAAATTGAACGCTCCGTTCTCTCAAAAACTGAAATGCCATTTTATGCACTTCTGTCCCCTATCTTCAAACGGCTGGACCTGTCTTTTCCAAATACTAATCGGTAGTCTCCTCATCAATACGAATCGAATGTTTTTTTTTAATTTCAAATCGGTTGATCCGTGTTCTCGAAATTGTCGACAATTTATATCCGCACATACGCACACAGACACATACACACAAACATATATACTATTTTACTAAAGTCAAAATGTTTAGAAACCTTTGAAGCATAGAAAATATATATATTCATTTTCAATTTTTTCCGGCTATGGGAAGTAAAATATATTTAAATTAAATACATATAATATTTTGCATTAAAAACTTTTT